CGCTGTAAAATGCAAAAGACTTCGTTCATACTTCGGAGTGGCTACAAAAAAAAAGAGACTGCAACCGGCCCATGCGAAAACAAGTATAATATCGGAAGGACGGTACATGTAGTCACGCAATGCTGACGTTGTTAACATTAACAATTTGAGAACAAAGTATAATTTGCACGGTTTTCCGTGGTATGATAACTTATAAGCGATTGTTAGATTTAATCAGCGCGATTTACTGCAATGTCAGAACCAGAACAAAAGTGGATGTTTCTTACTAGTTCAGAGGACATTTTCCGGTGAAAATTCTTATGTTGGTCATACTTCCAAAAAGAATAATCTGTGATTCTGAATGCCAGTCTCCACACCGGCGCAGTGACTGACAGCCTCAAAGTCTCCTCAAACATTGTGTTCATCCGCGCTGTGCCGTGTCGAGGGTGTTGAAGTACAACTCACGTAAAGTTGATAATTCCGCGAATGACTGCAATTGCAGATTTCGAACAGAGATGGCGACAAAGTGGAAAAACGCCGGACTGCAGCTTTAAAATAAAACAGCCTGACAGGTGGTCTTTTAAAGAGTGTCCCTTGATTAGATATAAGTTAACAATAAAAATTACATTAATATTAAGACAAGGAACTAGAATTTTTTTTGAACGTCATAAGGCCAAAATTACCTTGAATTACATCGTACAAACGTGTATCGTTGAATGGCTTCTTTTCAAAAAGCCACCACCCCTCATATTGAAATTTGCCATTAAGGCATTTAATAGAGTTCAAAAGGTGCAGCACGCACATCCAAAACAATAAAACTGGGTGCTGGGCAGACAGGTAGTTGCAAAAGTAAACAATGAGTCCGCACATTATATAGTTACGCCAATGTTCAGCAGGCAGTGGTTTGAGTGAGAACTCTTGTCCAGCCTTACACACACACCGCCTATGATTATTTACCTTTGTGTTTTGTTCATATTCTGTTCACTGGCTATTTTATTTATAAATGTATTTTGTTGTTTTCATGAAACTGTTGGCTGACAATAAATCACATTATACATTGAGGTCCAACTTAATTCACCAAGATCCGGTGAATCTGTGTAGATTCAATGTAAGGGTGAATCTATTGTTGAATCCATATATTATATATTATTACTGTGCATTATCAATTATTATAATAGTTGATTTGGTCCAGTGCGTAGATGTGATTTACTGAATGCGACCCCTTTAAGAAAAATGACACCGCGCGCACTGAGCATGCGCAGAAGAGAGAAGCGCGAGAGCCTTGCTATATTTTTGTTTTCTTTCTTCTCTCTCGCTCTCTTTCTTTTTGTTGTTTTCTTTGACGCTGCTATGAATGTAACAGTCGAACACGTTGTGATCCACTGTAAGTGTATATTATGTTAATGTTAAAAAGAGAGAAGCGCGAGAGACACGAGACAAGAAACTTTCACCAGTTAAAGCTGAAAGTGACGCTGTTAACGATCGTGAATTAAGAGCAAATGTGAAATATTTTTCCAGGTGCCGTATATTTCCAGTCGGCAGGTCAGATATTTGCTATTTAATGTAAGAATTGACGTTTGTGTTGTCTAAATGTACATTGTTCGTAGTGTAACGTACAGAGAATTAAATCATCAGTTTTTATCAGCTTAGACTAGAGCTATTCGGTATGTATAAAGGCATATTGTGTATGATTATATTTGTTAGATTCCTGTTTAATTGATATATTTATTATTATTTTTTACATATGACTTGTTTTATCCTTATAAAATCACATAAAACTCATATAAAAATTAACAACCAAAATATGAACAATACACAGCCGTTTTAAATGCTAATATATAACCGTATGCCAAAGGATCTATATTTCTTAAATCAAGCACATATGGTCATTTAATTTAAGAAGTGTAATTATTAAAGTATAAACTCAGTAACATTGAATTTGGCAGATCTGGTGTCCCTCACAACAATTCACCAATTAAGAAAGCTTTAGCCTAGTTCAACCAAAAATTGCAATATATGATTGTAGGATTGAAAATAATGCGTGCAAGACATTTGCTTTACTGTTTTCCACACCCTCTGTCTACCACAAGGACCATTTGGAATTCCTTAAAGGCACAGAGACTGATAGTGATCAAGGCCTGTAAGATGTTTGCATTCCAGGGGTCTATGAATTGTCACATGTTTAGTACAATGGGGGAAGTTTTAACTATCTGATTGGTCAGTTTGAATGTCTCACATTTGGGTTTTAGTCACATGGTCAGGGAAAGGATAAAAGAAGATTGTAACTGTTGCTCTGTCTCTTTTATGCTGATGATTAGATGGAGATGAATGACATGTATAGCAGCATGCGGTAAGGAACTTTATTCTGTTTATGTCATAATATTTCATACAGCTAGACCTATAACAAAAAGAAATTTCCAAGCCTATTGACGTCATATCCGGGAGATAAGTCAGTAAATTCGAGTAAAATCACAGGCTTCGGTTATCCCGTGTGAATGCGCCACATGAAATTCAGATGTGGCAGGGTGATTTTTAAATCACACGAGGTCCCCAGATAATACTAATCCCGTGCGAATAGGGCTCTATTCTCTGGGTCCCTTTCTTGGGTCTCTCTCTCTTTACCTCCTCTTTTCTCTCTCTCTCTCTCTCTCTCTCTCTCTCTCTCTCTCTCTCTCTCTCTCTCTCTCTCTCTCTCTCTCTCTCTCTCTCTCTCTCTCTCTCTCTCTCAGGTAACATTTTACACATATGCTAGGTACAGTTATAATCAAATATAATCATTTCATACATCTATGGTGTAACTATTTTAACTATTAAATCAAGCATATATGGTCATTTAATTTATAAAGTGTAATTATTAAAGTATAAACTCAGTAACCTTGAATTTGGCAGATCTGGTGTCCCTCACAACAATTCACCAGTTAATAAAGATTTAGCCTAGTTCAACTGAAAATTGCAATATACATTAAATTAAATAATGAGCAATATATGATATTTTTTTTCTGGAAAAAACCCCCCACTTAAATTATCATAATATTGTAAAGTAATTGCTACCCACATTTTGATGGTCAAGTGTTAGATTATTTCCTTTTGTGTAGGGTTGGGTATCGGTTGGGTTTTATCCGATACCAGTACCTACTCGGTATTTTTTAAACGGTTCCGGTGCTTAAACGGTTCTTAAATCGGTACTTAAGAAAATGAAACTGCACACACTTTATAAAAAAATAATACCCTTTAATTTACAGGGCCAAACTGGACACAATATTAACTTAAATCTTTAAACAATATAAATACAAGTAACATTGGTAATAATAAAACCAATATAAAATCAAAATTCATATTTACATAATATCAAATGAAACAATATTGTATCAAACAATGTAATAATACTGGAGATTGCAGGGCTTCCAACTCTCACGCATTGACCGTGAGACTCACGCAAATGACCCTTTTCACACAGAAAAATCGCGGACAAAGAGGACACTGACACCGACAGACAAGACAGAGAAGGTTACTTATTTTGATATGGAACAAATCCACAGCTGTCAGATTCTGTCAATATTTTTACGAGATTCACACAATAAATAACGTTTTGGCTCTTTGAAATGTGACAGATCGCTGTAGCGCGTCAGTTCAAACGGCACGTGATACAGCAGCCTACAAATCCACTGCTTCTTAGCTATGCAGCGTTGAGTGAAACATATGAAAGAGAACATCTCTGGTTACTGGTGTAACCTATGTTCTCTCAATAGGGAACGGGACGCTGCCAAGCTCCTTGCGCTGCCGACCAGCTTCCTTTTTCGGCAGAGAAATCTGAGGAGCAGATGGCGGCGCGCGCGCGCCAACATAATATGACGACGTAAGTGCGTCGATGCGGTGCCCGCGCCACCAGCCAATGTATTGGCTTGATTCTATATGGGATTCAGACTATCGGCACACCCAGAGGGCGTTCTGACACGTAATTTTACACGTGAAATGCAGCCAAACCTTGCGAGAAAGGGCGCGCATGCAAGACAGAAGAAACTGTGCTCCAAACTGTGTAGCACACGCACGGGCACGGCGGAGAGGGAGAGAGCGAGAGACCTTGCGTCTGTGTGTGTGCCTAATGAAGTTAGGCACCGAAATCAGGCACCGAAATTTTCGTTCTTATTCGGTCTGGTTACTACCGTTTACGTCGGAACCGGTTCCCTATTGGCACCGAGTTTCGGTACCCAACCCTACTTTTGTGCCATCATTCTCAGTCCCTTAATCGATGGTTGATTTCTGTCGTCTTACGTTATATTTCTGATTAGTTTAGATATTAATTGAATAATAGAACCTGTGCCCTGTTTCATCCTTATTATATCCTGGGTTACATAAAAATTGATCAACCTACAGTTGTTTTATATGCTACTAATATGTAACCATCAAAATGTTCTATATTTGAACTAAATCAAAGGCACCAAATGTGTTTCCTGTTAAAGTAATCCAGTATGAATTCAGTAACTTATCTTTTATTTTTCCAGATCTGGTCCTGTGGGCGTCAGTATTACACAGTGATCACAGTTCACACCTGCAGTGAAGCCCCTCCCACAACAATTCACCAATAAATACTGGGAATATTCCCATCATCCTACAAGAGAAGGACAAACTCCAGGAGTAGCAGCTGAAATCTGTGTGACTGTTAAAGATGGAGTTTATTAAACTGGAGATTTTAAGACATAAGTTATCCAGAACCATCCAGAATAAAACATGAAGATACTGAGGAACAAATAGGTTGGTGTCCATTCTTGATTCTTCATTGTTGACTGCTTTCGTATCTCTGAAATATGGATTACAAATGATAGAGAAATGCATGTTAATGATCATAAGCCACTTTTAATCGCTTTAACAAGAGAATGACAGAACCGAACTTTGCACATTAAAGATACTTTATACAGATATTTGCTAAGTTATTGCTATTGCTATAATTATTGCTAAGTGTTTTTAATTTTCACATTTAACCTCATTGAACTGATTCTAACTTATTAATACGTTTATTTTAGACCAGATGGAAGTGAAGGAGCAAATACAGAAACTAAATGACGTAAAGAAACACTGCGACTTCAAAACTCAAGGAACAAAAGCCAATAAGCTGCACTCCTGCTCTCAGTGTGGAAAGAGTTTCCAAAATAAAGGATACCTTAACACACACATGAGAATTCACACTGGAGAGAAACCGTATCCATGCACTCAGTGTGAGAAGAGTTTTACTCAATCATCAGGTCTCAGTTATCATCTGCACATTCACTCTGGAGAAAAACCATTCAATTGTGATCAGTGTGGTAAAGATTTTATTTCATCATCAAGTCTAAAAGATCACCTGAAAGTTCATTCAGATGAGAAGCCTTATGTGTGTTCTCTCTGCGGAAAGAGTTTTTCACGGCTGAAGAGTTTTAAACTGCACCAGAAAACACACAATGATGTGAGAGATCATGTGTCCTGTGACTGTGGGAAGAAATTTACTAGAGCTGACCATCTGAAAGTTCACCAAAGAATTCATACTGGAGAAAGACCTTACAAGTGCTCATACTGTGACAAGAGTTTCACTCATTCTGGAAACCTGAAAAGGCACGAGCGAGTTCACACTGGAGAGAAGCCGTACCACTGTACTCAGTGTGAGAAGAGCTTTTATCATGCATCAGATCTCAGTTATCATCTGCGCATTCACTCTGGAGAAAAACCATTCAATTGTGATCAGTGTGGTAAAGATTTTATTTCATCATCAAGTCTAAAACAACACCTGCAAGTTCATTCAGATGAGAAGCCTTATGTGTGTTCTCTCTGTGGAAAGAGTTTTTCACGGCTGGACTGTTTTAAACAACACCAGAAAACACATAATGAAGTGAGAGATCATGTGTGTTGTGACTGTGGGAAGAAATTTACTAGAGCTGACCATCTGAAAGTTCACCAAAGAATTCATACTGGAGAAAAACCTTACAAGTGCTCATACTGTAACAAGAGTTTCACTCAGTCTACATCTCTGAAATCACACGAGCGAGTTCATACTGGAGAAAAGCCGTACTACTGTACTCAGTGTGAGAAGAGTTTTAAACATTTATCAAGCCTTCAAACTCATATGAAAAAATGTTTGAAGTGAACATCATTAGTTTTCATGTCAAATACATTAAAGTAAACTGAGATGAAATATGGAGTTTTTCATAAAAGAAAATCACTACCGGTATATCATCTAGATTAATTTTGTTAATGTGGTGAAAAGCTTGGTTAACTAGAAAGATTTAAAGGGTTAGTTCAGCCAAAAAATAATTCTGTCATTAATTACTGACTCTCATGATGTTCCTAACCTTTAAAGGATTAGTTCACTTTAAAAAAAAACTTTTGCTGATAATTTACTCACCGCCATGTCATCCAACATGTTCATGTCTTTCTTTCTTAAGTCGAAAAGAAATTAAGGTTTTTGATGAAAACATTCCAGTATTTTTCTCCATATAATGGACTTCAACAGACCCCAAACGGTTCAAGGTCCAAATAACCGTTTTAGTGCAGCTTCAAAGGGCTTCAAACGACACCAGACGATGAATAAGGGACTTATCTAGCGAAACAATCTGTCATTTCGAAAATTAATAAAAAAGTTAAAGTTTTATAAGCACAAATGCTCGCCTTGCTCTGTTCTGTGATGCGCGTTCATGACACTCCTGTTCGAACTCGTTCATCAAAATGAACGAATCTTTTTTTTTCAACGAACGAAATGAACGAAATTACTCAAAAAAAGATTTGTTCATTTTGATGAACGAGTTTGAACAGGAGTGTCATGAACGCTTTATGAACGTTTAAAGCCCTTTGAAGCTGCACTGAAACAGCTATTTGAACCTTGAACCGTTTAAACACCATTGAAGTCCATTATATAGAGATAAATGCCGGAATGTTTTCATCAAAAACCTTAATTTCTTTTCGACTGAAGAAAGAAAGACATGGACATCTTGGATGACATGGGGGTGAGTAAATTATCAGCAAAAACTTTTTTTAAATTGAACTAATCCTTTAAGACTAAGATCTTCAAAACACAAATGAAGATCTTTTTGAATGATTAAAGGCACACTATGCAGGAATTCCGTTTTTGTCAAACAGCGACCCCTAGAGTCGCTGTGGAGTACTTGTATTTAACGTTACTGTTGTAAATACCACTCACACAGAGCGTCTGCCATAGACTGGTCTCTGCACTCACGGCCTGATACCCCTTCGAAGCTGTTATATTAAGGTACAAATCTTGCATAGCGTGTCTTTAAATAATAGATCTAGTGCTAAAATGTGTTTTTGAACTCAACCTGAGCGCTCGTGTCCGCTGCTATCAGTGTCATGGATGCATAGTGTTTCTTGTGGCGGCGCGCACGCAGTCTTCACTCGGACGCGCTCTTCAATCTATAGCCGTTGCTGAGACTCTCTATTCATTCCGGTGAAATCACAAAATAAAATGCACACAAACTTAGAAAGATTTACTTACTAGTCCATCAACAAGATCGCCAGGTCAGCATCACTGTTGCATCCAGTGCTGCTTTTTAGCTCGCGCCAACGAGTGAAAGCCCGACCGAGTGGGACTCTTGTCCGGTTCCTCACGCGGTCAGATTCTCTTTTCCTTTTCCTAGTCTCTTCCGACAGCGTTTTCTTAGCTTTTTCCATCGTCGAGTATCACGTCTGAAATGCACTCAAGTGTCTTCGTGATTCATATGTTGTTGTTGATTTGTGTGACGTCGTTGCCGTAAAGCATGACGTGATTCTCGCAAGATTTGTCGGGGGCGCTCCTCTCAAACCTGCATTGCTGGTTTTTCCAGGGGCGTCCCCCCCCCAAGCTTTACTACCAGGATGATTCCCCTACTATGAGTTTGTTTACCACCGAAATGACTTTGAAGCTGTTATATTAAGGTACAATTCTTGCATAGTGTGCCTTTAAATCTGAGAGCCTAATTTCAATCTGTTCATCAAATAAAGCGACCGCGTCTCTTCAGAAAATATTTTGACCAAACCGCTGGATTCATATGGAATTATTATTGGTAACACTTTACAATAAGGTTCATTAGTTAACATTAGTTCATGTATTAACTAACATGAAATAACCATGAGCTATACATTTGTTTCTGTTTTTGGAAATCTTTGTTAACGTTAGTTAATAAAAATACAGCTGTTCATTGTTTGTTCATGTTAGTTCACAGTGCATTAATAATGTTAACAAGATTTTAATAAAGTATTAGTAAATGTTGAAATGAACATTAACAAAGATTAATAAATGCTGTATATGTGCAGTTCATTATTAGTTCATGCTAACTAATGTAGTTAACTAATGTTAACTAATGAACCTGAAGGGGGTGGATTGGAATCCACTGCTGCTTCAATGTATATGTAATGATGAGTAATTATAAATTAAGGTATTAATCAATATTTTTCCTTCTAAATATTAAATGAGTTGAATGACTTCTCTAGACTTGTGAGATTTTATTTTGTTATAGAAGTTACCAGTGTGATTATGAAATGTTCTTTTCATGTATTCTTTAATGTATTTGATATCTGAATGCAGTAACAGTGCTTGCTCATTTAGTCCTGCTTCCAGAGATGAAATAGGGACTTGTTTTGTGTTTGAGAAAGGTCTTCAACATCTTCAACGCATATAGGGGTCATTGAAGCCAATAGTTTGAGGGACCATTTCTTTGTTAAAGCCTTACTTTCCAGTTAGACTAAAGTTGAGAGAAAGTACGCATTTTTTTTAATGTTTTGAGAGGACTCTCCTGTTTATAGTTAGAGCCTGGCCAAATCCAACCTTGGAAAAGCTGTGTGTCGGTGTGTGTGTTAGTTTTCTTGGTTACAGGTTAAGGAACTGCTGGCATTATTGGAGAAGATTGAGTGAATTGTTGTTCGATACATGCTGGGGCCCAGAAACCCAAATCTGCGACCTGGAAGGTCATGACGTGCCTAACTTCTGGGTCTGAATGTCTCAGCTGTATAATCGATGGAGATATGCTTCCGTCTGTCTGTATATGTGTGGAAAATTACTGTGTTTATCTATTTCTTAGCCAATGAGAATCATTCAACATGTAAGCAATGACGTAGCTTAGACCTTGGAAATTGTATAACTGCTGTGATCTTTGTAACTGTAAGTGGGCGGCCTACAAACTCCTGTGTGAGTCTTGAAGCTGATTTCTGCTGATGAAACTGCAAACTATCTTCAGTAAAACTTTTCTTTAATTTTTATAATTCTGACTCCGGGTCTTCATTCTTCATATCTGGTTCTGGGTCTTTGACTGTATACCCCTTACAAACCTTATTGTAAAGTGTTACTGGATTATTTTTACAATCTCTTTATAAACTTTCTTTAAGCAACAAAGTGGTTATTGCATAGCTGTTAATGGAGGGACAGAAAGCTCTCAGATTTCATTCAAGCCGGATAATAAAAGATGTGGGGCAGTGGTGATAAATATATTAGGGATATTTCATTTTCACTACAATCTAGAGGCAAGACTGCCAATATTAAAATGAAAAGGCAAACATGAAAAGAAACTGCAAATAAGCCTACAGGTTTTACAAAACTTTTTATTGATGTTGAGTTAAGTGTCTCTAACTTAACTAATAAATACGGAGAGAGATTTCCAACGGGTGCTCTTCCAGTATGACTTTATTACAGTACCTTTTTTACATACTCAGCAACGTCACATCCTGTCCTCTAAAACCCCATAACACTACATCCCCCTTTCTAAGATCAGTTGTACTGACATATCACTCAAGAATAGACTAACACCTCTGTCCGGTAACAGACTATATCCAAAAGTTAACTGTAGAGTTATAAACCCAACTGTGTTTTATGCACATTAAGCATATGAACATTAACTGAAAATCTGAACTAAGAAGGTGGGGTAGACTGCCCAATCCTTCTACTGAGTGTGGGGGTTTATTCTGCCCCGTAGAAATCACTCAGTCTCACCAGGGGTACCTGCTATCTAGCCACAAAGTCCTTCAGGTACCCTGGAGGTCGTCTCTCTCTTGCAGGGTAGTGTGCCGGAGGCTCAGGACTGCATGGTTGAATTAGGCCCTGCTCTTCCTGACCTGGCCCCACTGGCTCACCGGTAAGTTGCTCTGGCTCTGGTAGAATGGTCTGGTGGGATGGTCTGGTAGGATGGTCTGGCAGGATTGTCTGCGCTGCTGGCGCCACTGGCGTAGAGACGAGATGGCTTCGGTTGTTGCGCAAGTTCCCTCTGGGAGTGTCAATGACGTATGACCTTGGTGCTTCCGCCTGTCTTATCACTGTCCCCTTCTCCTTTGTGTCCCTTACCCAGACATGGTCGCCTGGTGTCAGTGATTTGAGATGTTGAGCTCTGTGTCTTTTGTTGAAGTTCCAGCTCAATCTCTGTCTCTTCTTCTGTTCCACCTCTTTGAGTTTGGTTATGTCAGTCCAGCCTGGGTTGAGAGATGACAGAGTAACTGGAACTGTTGTTCTGAGCTTTCGGCCCATTGACAGCTGTGCTGGACTGTAACCGTTGGCGAGTGGTGTGGCTCTGTAAGCCATGAGTGCCAGATACGGGTCTTTTTCTTGCTGGAGGAGGCCTTTAACTGTCCGCATGGCGCGCTCTGCCTCTCCATTCCTCTGAGCATGTCTGGGGCTGGACGTTGTGTGTGTGAACCCCCACTGTGTTGCGAACTGAAGTGAAGCATTCAGACGAAAACTGGGGTCCATTATCTGTCATGACCTCGGACGGTATGCCATGCCTGGCGAAGATAGACTTGCAATGTTCCACTACTGCTAATGAGGATGTGGATGTGAGTTTAGCTACCTCAATGTAACGGGAAAAGTATGTGTCGCAGCCCCCAGCTCTGTCTATTGTGGATCTGTCTGGCCAGCCCTCAGTACAGTACTTTTTTACTTGGCTCAGTATTTCATCCCGTTCTTGGTGTTCCCTTATTTCTTGTAGCCTCTTTTCTGTGGCTGGGAGGGTTGACATGATCATGTGTACGTACAGATTGACTTCCTCTTCCTGCTCCGGCTGCCCTCTGTCTCTCAACGGCGCCCTTGACAGCACGTCTGCCGTGGCCAACTTCTTGCCGGCCACATGGGAGATGGAGAAGCTGAAAGCCATCAATCTCATTCTGAGTCTCTGAATGCGTGGCGGGAGCTCATCCAGGCTCTTGGAGCCTAGTAACGGAACCAGGAGCTT